AAACATACAGTAGGCTTGTTTACAGAGAGTCATTCTTCCTCTACCTTATGTGTAAGGCTCCTTTTTAAATAAACAATAAAAAAGAAAAAGTAAAGTTTGGTGTCACTGTTGAAAGCAGTGTCTAGTACTCCAGACATGGGAGTCTTTGAGAGAAAGAATGAATCCCAGACATTTCAACAACTGAACTCTGAACTCAATTCAGCACTTACGATTTTGAACTGTCTAACATGGAGTACATTTGTTCCGATTTTAATTCATCTTCGTCATCTCAGCCCTGCTGAGAATGTGGAATTGCAGAATGAGAAACGTAAGAGTTTGTGTATCTGAAGAGCTTGTAATGTGTGCTGTCTCTAAAAAGATAGTAGTAACAAGTCAATGGGTACCTTCTGTTTTGTATCAAGGACAGGAGTGTCTGTGTCAGGTGCGTTAATGAATGTGAACGTTTGGAACTATTGAAGCTCTGATGTCAAAATTATATAAAGCAGCTATACGACTTTTGCCCTCAACCAAAACAGCTTTTTGTGTGCTTTAAGCTAGATAGGAGGAACCTCCCTTAAAATCCTCATGGATCACCTAGAAGATCTGCAACCTTAACAACCATATCCTCATATAAAAATGCCCAAGAACTGCAAGCAGACATCAGCTATAATTAGGGCTTCCAATTTTAGGAATTTATTTTTTTCATATAGTCCTGGATTTTGGATGCCAAATTATTAAAATTTAAATGACGTGTTTCCAATTTATACTGTAACTGCTGTATACAGCAATGTGTGCTAAAGTACTCTTTTCCAGCTAACAGCAAAAGGTACAAAAGCATAAGCCTAATAATGTAAATACAGTATACTGAAATCTAAATAAAATAAGATTTTATTATGTGAATTCAACAGGTCTAAGGAAGGCTGATTAACACTGCTTATTTGTGTGCCAGATATGCTGTCAAGACAAGAAATTACAATTTGTTCAATTTAGGATAAAATTCATTGTGGTTTATTTTGCTTAAAATGGATTGGCACAACATGTTTAAAGGGATGTCACACGATTAAAAGTAAATACCAACATTTGGAAGGCCTTACTAATATGTTCCCCTTATCTTTCGGCACACAGTCACATGGCAGTTACAGCTGGTGAAACAGATTAGACTAACGAACATAAAGTGAACCTTTGACAGGAGAGTTTGTGGATATGGTTTTGTGATATTTAGTCTGGGTGAGGTCGATAGCCCACAAAACAAACAGTATATCATCTTCTAAGCCTCAACATTCAGTTTAAGCCAGGGCACTGAATCAGGAATTGTCATCCCATCCCACTAATTTGATACCAAAGTGAGGGGTTACATCTTGCCAGTCCTAAGCCACCCTGATAAATGCCAGGTCTATGTCACCACAAGCAATTCAGCACTAAGCTACCTCATCAGTTCTGTGGAATTATAGTTTCAAAAGAATGAGAGATAAGGATCAGTGTGAACCGACCAACTGATGTGTCACTATAACGTGTCACTGTTGAGCGCATCACAACCCCTCATTTGCTCTCTCGCACTCCGCTCTTGAGGGAAGCAGGCATCAGTACAGAAAACAAAAAAAGGCCAACAGTGATGTCCAACCTACCCCAAGTAAGGAAGCACAATGAGGCTGGTGATGAGGACAATAATTCGCAGAACAGAGCTGGGAGCCAAAACGAAGGTCTTCTTCAGGGTCATAAGCCAGCCAGTGAGGTGTGCTCGGATTGTTACTGAAAGAGAGCAGAGAAAGAGGTCAGGGGTTACACATTCCCGAAGGCCAGCATACACAATAGCAAGTACAATATAGAGTAGCCATTACAAAAGGAAGATTGTACAGTAGCTTATGAAGGAAAAACAAGATCTCTGAGATGAAAAAGTAAAGGCATTTCCATTTGAATAGCATCAGTGTCCTCTAGATTGCATTGCTCCCCAGTTTATCTCCTTGACTCATTGTTGCAATAATTCAGTAACATAGAGGATGTGTCAGCTAAAAGTAACAGGAATATAGTAATAAAACTGGAGTCAGTTTTCGCTGAAACAAGGCAATGTGCTCTGTTTGAGCATACCAAATAATTCTCAAGGTGTAAAAGGTGGTCCATTGACACCTTTCAAAGTGTATTCTTTTTTAAAAACTAAAGGAAGACATTCATTTCAATTCAAATCACTGTTACTAGGACAACACCTAACTTTACAGGTCTCTCAAGTCAAGGACAGTAATGTAAACTGGGTGGTGAAAAAGACCATGATAAGAAAGATTTAATCTTTGATATCTGAGTTACATACAAACAAGAAAACACTGAACCCCTAAGCAAGGTAAATTAACCATATTGGTCCAGTAAATGCCCTTCTATATGAGTGGGTACTCCATAGGTCATTCTTTATTTAACTCCGTTTAAATGAAAAACTAAAAAAAAAAAAAACAGATAATGCTTGAAAGAGTAAGCATGCTGGTGTGGTAAGAAAAAAAGAAATTGAAAAACTTGCAGAAGCACTGTCGAACACTTGCAAAATATTTTTTCTGCCCAACATGACATTGTCACCCCAGGTGTGTTGCCTCTGAAATGTTTCAAAACTGAATAAAAATATTCATGCTCATGTTCCTCCGAAGCTAAAAAGAAGTATCAGAGTCTTCTATACCTGGCAGTGGAAAAAAAGAAAAAATGCGCAGTGGAGCCACACAAAGTTCTGCAAAGGCGTAGTCAACACCGATGATATCCACCAAGATCTTCTCTGAAATGTGTGGGGTCCAGAAAACCACAAAGCACAACTAGGAAAAAGGAAACAAAAAAATATGTTGGTTGTTTAAAGAAGTAAAAATAGATTAGGATTAAAAGTGATAAATGTTTCAGGCTCCAATACTCATTTATTGCATTTTCCGTAAAGAAAACTGTTTGAATTTTTTTTCCCCCCCAACAGAAAATTATTGTAAGAAGTAGAAAAAAAATATATAAAATGCATCCTCCAGCCAAGAGTCTAAAAATATAAAATCCCGTACAAACCCAATACAGCCTAAAAGACCAGCCATCTCAAAAATTGTCCTACTAAATTAAAGAATTACAACTTTATTTAGTGTGAAAAACATTTAATCTAGCACATGTCTGCAATAATAAATATATATATGTATATTTTCCACTTTGTGAAAACAGTACCGTACCTATAACTTATCAAACTGGAGATGGTGGGTTTATGTTTTGGGAATGTACTTACTAGAAATGTGTTATGCTGTTGCTTGGAATATTATATAACTTTATAATCCTGGCCATTGTGCTAAATACCTCAAGGAAAATCTTTTAGGTGGGATTCTGACTTAAAGGCATTCAGTCATAATTCCACAGATGGCAGCTTTGCATTCTTGATATGCATGGGTATTTTCCATCCATTTATTTTCTAAACGCTTTATCCAACACGGGGTCGCAAGGGAAACGGAGTCCAGAAACTTCCAGAACTTTCCAGAAACAACGAGGAGAAAGAACCCTGCAGTAATAATACATAAACTGCAGAAACACCCTGGACAGGAACCCAGTCCATCTCAAGGGATAAATACACACACAGTCACACCACGGCTAATTTTCCCAGAAGCCAATGAACCTACCAGTAGGTTTTTGGTCTGTGGGAGGAAACCAGAGCACCTGGAGGAAACCCATGCGAACACTGGGAGAACATATGAACACCACACAGACACCCCAGGAAACGAACCCAGGGCCCCACCACTGCGAGGCAACACTGCTACCCTGCCACCCTGTATGGGTAGTTTGACATTTAAAAACAAAAAAAAATACTGAAATAGGTTTAGTAAAGGGCCCCAGAATTATGTTCCAAAATTATAGTATCTTGTATTAAGTAAAGTGTTTTTGTTTTAAGCTTTATTTGTGAAGTACATTAGGAGAAGAAAGTATGACCATATAACCCCATACTTAGCTCTCTTCATTAGCTTCCTATCAGGTACAGGGCGGACTTCAAAATCCTTCTACTTACTTATAAGGCTCTCAGAGGTCAGGCACCTGTCTAGCTAATGGAACGTATTGATGTACACCATCCAAGTCGCCCACTTACAGTAGATCACAGAATGCAGGTCTTCTTCATATTCCACGCATTCATAAAAAAATAGCTGGCGGTAAAGCCTTTAGTTACAGGGCCCCTACCTTATGGAACAGTCTCCCACCCCATGTTCGGGATGCCGAGTCAATCTCAGTATTCAAATTCAAAACCTATTACTTCAGCCGAGCCTACTCACACCTTACATCATAGCCTGCTGCAACCATGGCTGCTGGTGCTGCTGTACATGCCATTGTGTGTCTCTATGTTGGCCCACCAGGTAGATACATCTGTTCTGACCAAACTATCCTATTCCCCTCCCCACATGTCCGGATGGCACCCAGGCTGGGCACCATCCGAGTTGGATACTGCATCACTGCCATGGACCCAAAAGGGACATCGTGGATATAGCTATCGTTTAGGAGGATTTTGCTGGTGCACAGAGATCTGCATTGAGTACTGGCACACAGAAGACATGATGGATGGATTAATACCCTCATTCATTTATTCCTTTTTTTAAATTGTATAATGTTAGCATGCCCAAAGGGGTTGGGCAGCCAGTTGACCTTGGACCTCTAGAGGTTTTTTTCTCCTTTCTAAGGCATTTTTGGTTCCTCTCCTCTGTTGTCTTCTGGTTTTTCTGTTCTGTATTCACAACATGTATGGTCATTTGCATTGTTAAGTGCCTTGGGGCAACTAAAGGCTTGTTGTGAAAGGTGTTATATAAAAATAACTTGAATTTAAAACAACCGTTGTAAAATAAATTGTTCAATGTCCCAAGTGGTTTGCTTGATGGTCCTCTTATTATCAGCCTGGTTTCCAGGATTTATTTGTCAGGAAAGATTTCTGACCAGATCAATCATGCTGATGTATTAAAATAGCTGTAGTGCCAGAAAGTAGCAACACATACTTAATCTCCTTCAAGATATTTTTACTTATATTTATACTTTAACCTGTGCCACGTAGCTTCACTTACGTAAAAGAAGGTAAGAGAAACACTGAAGGAACACTAGAGCCAACTAGCTAATTTAACTATGGATCTTATGAAAAATAATTCACATTTTCAGACTACAATTCAACATATTTAGATGACTCATCTAAACCTTTTTCCTAAATTTGGACTACAAGTCGCTGGGATATTCTGAAACGCAGATCTTGCTTATCCAAAATTGCAAACATTTTTCTTTGATCTATTCTCACTGACCGGGCCCATAATTTTTTTATATTATGTGTATCTTTGTGACTTTGTAGTCTGTGAAACTGCCGGTCACACCTAAATTTAATTAAAAACTGTAAGTACCTCAAAATACAGTCTTTAGAGTGTAAGTGATCAAAATTACAGTTAATCCTCCAGGGATTTAAAAAGCTGTACATCTAGATGCTTATCCATCAACCAGTACTGCTACCCCACAGGTCATGAAGACATCTGGTTGAGATGCTTTTTACAGTTTGAAAATGAATACTTAAGCCTTTCGTTGTCTGCTTCTACATCTCATGCTATCTGTGCAAATATGGTGCTTTAAGTAGTAATTACTAATTGTAAATTGTGAAAACTGTTTTGCTGTTAAGAGAAACTGGAACATTTGCTATCACTTCTGCTCTGGCCTGTGATGTTATCACACTGAGACTATGTCAGTGAGTGTGTGCCCTATTAGAAAAGGTTTTATCTGGTTTTCTAATGCCTTCTATTTGCTCCTATGTGAAGTTGCAGAGCCTGGTAAATACCTGGATGGGAGACTTCCTGGGAAAAACTAAGGTTGCTGCTGGAAGAAGAATCAGTAGGGCCAGCAGGGGGTGCTCACCCTGCAGTCTATGTGGGTCCTAATGTCCCAGTATAGTGACGGGGACACTATACTGTACAAAGGTGCCGTCCTTCGGATTAGATGTAAAACCAAGGTCCTGACTCTCTGTGGTCATTAAGAATCCCAGGGTGTAACCTGGTGTCCTGGCCAAATTTCCCAGTGGCCCTTCTAATAATCCCCATCTATGAATTTGCTTCTTTACTCTGCTCTCCTCCCCACTGATAGCTGATGTGTGGCGAGTGTCCTGGCGCACTATGGCAGCCGTTGAATCATCCAGGTAGGGCTGCACATTGGTGGTGGAGGAGGGGAGTCCCCATCACCTGTAAAGCGTTTTGAGTGGAGTATCCAAAAAAGCACTATATAAGCTAAGCAATTATTATTATTACTCACTACAACAGGAACAGAGATGCAATATAAAATTTTCCAGTGGTGTCTAAGAACCAATGTGCTTGTCAATTAGTTTTAGGGAAAAAGCACTGGATTATGTACAATTCCCTCGAGAGTGAGATACCGTATAGAACAATATTTTAGAAACAATGCAAGATACATTAATAGATGCAGCAACTTACATGGAAATCACCTTAGGTATTATTATTTAACTGTTTGCATTAGGTAGTAAATTCTCCTTTTAAACTAAGTCCTTATATAGTATAAATCTGCAGTCTTTTAAGCCACTAGGTATAACAGGTAACATTACTCACTCCTGAAGAAGGCTGAAGAACCAAAACATTGCATTTCTTCTTTCAATTTTTCAGACTGAAATTAACCTTAACTGCTTCCTGTATCTAGGTAAGTTCATTGATGAGTCTTGCAGCTTGGAAAACCTCTGGCTTAAAAACAGACGATGCCGATCATAATGCTGAGATACAGACGTTGAAAACTAATTGCTAAGACACTTCGCTCTTAGAAGCAGCAATGAATCTACCCTGTTTTCAATCTGGGCCACTGAGATAGAAGATTCAGTGTCTGCTGCTTTGAGTAATTCAAAATGTTGCAAAAAGGACACTTTCTGCAGCAGAAAGAGAAAGCCTACTGGTATCTATCAGTAAGTAGCTGAGTTACCTGGTTTTGCCTAGGAAAGGAAATTAACAAAAATGATATTTCAATAAAGGCAGCTGTGCACTAAATCCAAGTCCAATATTTTTAAAGTGAAGTCCTACTCTGACTTTTATTTATTGTGATTTATTGCGACAGCTGCAGAACATTTTAGTAGAAATCTATTAGGGAATCTTAACACAATTAGAAACACATAATACAGTATAGGTAGTTTTCGATTCATATGCCAGAAGCGTTTCTGAAAAACTTTGTGCAATAAAAAAGGCATAAGAAAACAACTAATTTCCCTTTAGAACGCTGCAAATAGGAAGGTTGCGTGTCAAGATCATTCCTAAGGGGACTGAAATTTTAAAAAATATATGCAAATATAATTAGGTAATATGTTTACATCATTACGGTAATAAAGTCAGAACTTTAGGAATGATTTTTTATCCTATTTTCTCTTATTATTCATCCATGGGACTTTTTGGTAGATAATGTTTTTAGTTTCAAGTCAAGTTTTAATACTGATGAGTCCAGCTTAACACTGACAGGGTTGTACTGTATATGCATTTTTAATTTCTTTTTCCTGTCCGTGGCAAAGGAAAAGCCCCCCAGATGTATTAAAAACAACTGCCTTCCTTAAAGCCTTTGCCACTGACCACATTTACTGCCTGTTGGTTGAAAATAATGGTAAGACCATTAAGGTGAATATTTTCCCCCCAAAAAGTATGTGCAATAATGTTGGCATTTAGTATCCAAGGAAAATCGAAATCCTTTAAATAAACAGAATGTAACAAGGCCCAGGTGCTGCGAGACAGTAATACTATCCACCACAGGACTTTTCCTAACCATACATATACACACATCCCGAACAAAGTATGGGTTTAAATGT